TGGTAGCACACAGCTGAAGATGGTTTAGTCTGAGAGCTGCCAGAGCTGGTAATTGTAAAGTACATCGGCTGTGCTGCTTGACATCTGCTGGACGTCTGTCTGTCCTGGTGGAGGGATCTCTCCACTTTCCTTATATAGATTTGTTTTTCTCAGTTCCTGGGTTTTGCACACATGCACATTTTCAGCATTATCAATGAGTCTGATCTTTGGATTCTGCATTTTAAGATTATTAAGTTAACATTATTGCAGTGATGACAAAGTAAACACTTTTTTCTTTTTTTTTTTACCTTCCTCAGTTATTCTTTGCAAAAAGTAAGCAAGTGGAAGATCCTGGCAGGGATAAGTGTCTTTTCTGTCCTCTGAGGAATCTGCTGGCATTCCCACAGTGCCGCTGACATGCGAACAGAGAGCCTTTGTCCCAACACACACACACATGTCTGAACTTGCGAGGACTTTCAGTTAACTATATTCATTCATAACTCCAAGCACGATTCCCCCACTGCGTAAAGATCAGGCGAGGAGGAGCTGTACGATGGCCTCACTTGACGGGAAACTTATACACAGCACTTGTCAAGAAGTCTAATTATATCTGTGGTATCTCACTGAACACACACCTCCTGCTGATCAAGGTTCCTCTGAAGAGAGCTAATACTAACAAGTCTATCCCCATCTGCCTACGCCTGCAAGCAGCACACTGCTATTACATGATGGTGCGTTAGGTCTGGGTGTGATCTACAGATTGACAGGGCTTCATGTTGAAACTTATGAATTGTTTTTTTTTTGTTTTGTTTTTTTTAAGAGTGCGCTTTGTTCAGATTTGGTTTCACATTTAAAACTCTCAGGTGTTTTGTGTTGTGATTATATTTTCATATAGCTTTGTGTCTCTATGTGGTTTTCATTGTTCTTGCTCATTTATATTCGATTGTAAAACTACAATATATAATTGTCTGTATTTTAAAACTTGGGTGATAAGTGTTAAGAACATGACATCAACACTAATGAGGCACTTCTGGACTTCAAAGACAATCATTTTTTTAAATCTCTTAGGTCCATTAAAAATCGGAGAGTCTCTGATACGGCATCTTTAATATGAATATTTGTCAGTTTCAGCAGCTCTCTGATTCCCTTTGAGTTTAGCACTGTGGGTTTGACAAAAGAAGAGATCTGAAGATAACGCCTTATGTTCTTTAGCAGTTTTTGAATTGAAACGGTCAACAACGTGCAACAATGACAAGTAGTACCATGTAATGTCAAAAATTTGCTGCATCTTGGGTAACGTTATCAGTGACACAAAGCACCGGTGCTGTTGTCGTATCCTTCCACGGATTTTTAGCTGTTATTTGACGCGCTTCTTACAGAATCTGAAGAGAAACGCATTTTGGATGAAGTCTTAACAAGTGTTGTAACACACAGCACTGCTGATCTCGTCTACGTCTTTGGTTTGACTTTGCAAAACCAAACCATTTGCAAATCCGTGCATCCATAACACTGCAGTGTAGCACATTTTCTTTCATTTAAATCATCATCCTTTCTTTACCTGAATGCAACAGCAGCATACTTTAAAGGCCTAGCTCTGGCTTTTGTTGACTCCCGTGGATGCATCAACAGAGTGTTCATTAAACTTGTGTCACTTATGTTGACATAAACTGATAAAGAAACAAAGACCTGAGTCAGTGTAAGCTTAAGTAAATGACTGTGTGTCTGTGTGCAGGAGTGGTCTCCAGAGGCAAGTCGCTCCATCAGCAAGAGGATGCACAGTGGAAACTCTGAGGAGAACGTGGTGACCCTCACCAACATCGTCTCCTCTGCTGGAGACAATGTCCCACCGAGTCCCATTACCCTGGACACCAGCAGGTAGGAGGACACTGTGGACATGATGTTGGAGTTTATGTTATCATAAACTCCAACATCTGTGCTCTGTTGAGAAGCTATCTGTTGAGATAATTGCGCTTGACTCACAAAGCAGTATACGTAATCTTTTAACCTCCTATAGTCGAAATGTCTACTCACAGACCATAAAGCTGAACCTGGTGGCGAGGTGAATCCATGAAATGGGAGTGAAATATTCCATGTGGAAAAAAAGGCCAAGTACAGCATGCACTTAGCAGTTGCTGACTAACCAATAAATTATTATTGGTATGACCTCTGA